CAGTAATTAAAACTGCATGGTACTGGCATAGAAACAGAATGGAGGATCAATGGACTCGAAGACAGGACCCAGAAATAAACACCACACTTATGATTTTTGACAAAGATGCAAAAACCATACAATGGAAAAAAGATAGAATCTTCAATAAATCATGCTGGTCTAACTGGATGTCTACATGTAGAATAATGCAAATAGAACCATGCTTATCACCCTGAACTAAAGTCCAAGCAGATCTAAGACCTCAATATAAAAGCAGTCACACTAAATCTGATGGAAGAAAAAGTGGGGAAGAGCCTTGAGCTCATTGGCACAGTAGACAACTTCCTGAACAGAACACCAACAGCACAGGCTCTAAAATCAACAAGCAAAAAACGGGACTTCATGAAACTGAAAAGCTTCTTTAAAAACAAAGGACACTGTCATCAGAACAAAACAACAGTCTACAGACTGGAAAAGGAACATCACCAACCCTATATCTGACAGAGGGTTATATATCCAGAATATATAAAGAACTTAAGAAGTTAAACATCAACAAATCAAGTAATCCAATAAAAAAAAAATGGGTACAGAGCTAATCAGAGAATTCTCTGTAGAGGAATATAGAATGGCAGAGATGTAAATCAAAATGATCTTGAGATACCCCAGAATGGCTAAGAACAAAAACTCAAGTGAGAACACATGCTGGGGAGGATGTGGAGAAAGAGAAGCCTTATTCCACTGCTGGTGGGAATGTAAACTTGAACGACCACTTTGGATATCAATCTGGAGCTTTCTCAGACAATTAGCAAGAGTGGTACCTCAAGATCCAGCTATAAGACTCCAAAGCATATATATAAAAGATGCTCAAGTATACAACAAGGGCATTTGCTCAACCATGTCTGTAGCAGCTTTTTTTTTTTAATAGCCAGAACCTGGAAACAACCCAGATGTCCCTCAGTTGAGGAATTGATACAGAAATAGTTGTACACTTACACAATGGAATACTATCCAGCAATTAAAACAAGGAAGTAAGGAAATTATGAAATATGCAGGGCAATGGAAGGATCTAGAAAGGATCATCCTGAGTGAGATTTCCCAGAAGCAGAGAGACTCACATGGTATATACTCACTTATAAGTAGATATTAGTCATGTAATATAGGATAATCATACTAAAATGAGTACACCTAGCAAAGCTAATCAGGAAGAGAGACCTTGGGTAAGATGCTCAATCTTCATTCAGAAAAGCAAATGGGACAGACATCAGAAAAGGGAGAAAACAGGTAAGTAGAAAGGAATCTACCACAGAGGGTCTCTGAAAAACTCTACCCAGAAGGGTATCAAAATATATGCTGAGACTCAGCCAAATTTGAGCAGAGTTCATGGAATCTTATGAAAGAAGGGGGAGATAGAAAGACCTGGAGGGGACAGGAGCTCCACAAGGAGAGCAACAAAGCCAAAAAAAAAACCTGGGCACAGAGGTCTTTTGTGAGATTGATACTCTAAACAAGGGCCATGCATGGAAATAACCTTGAACCCCTGCACAGATGTAGTCCATGGCAGCTCAGTGTCTAAGTGGGTTCTCTAGTAATAGAAACAGGGACTGTCTCTGACATGAACTCAGAGGCTGGCTCTTGGATCATTCCACCTGAGGGCAGAGCAGCCTTACCAGTCCACAGAAGAAGACTGTCCTGACTAGACCTGATAGACAAGGGTCAGATGGAAGGGGAGGAGAAACTCCCCTTTCATTGGACTGGGGGAGGTGCACAGAGGAGGAAGAGAGAGGGAGGGTGGGATTGGGAGGGGATGGAAGAGGGGGCTACAGCTGGGAAACAAATTGAATAAACTGTAATTAATAAAAATATAATTAAATTTATAATAAACAAACAAAACACATGGCAGTGTTGGTCTACAGAAAAGAGTTCATGAAAAATCTATTTTTTTCTGAGTTCATTTCTCCAGATTTAGACCCCTCTTTCAATTTCCTGAAGTTGTAGGGAGGATACATGTTAGTTTTTGCTGGGTTTGCTTTGCTTTGAGATTAAAGTTCTTCTACTATCAGGCTTAAGTTAATGTCTGCCATGACAACCACAGAGTGAATTCTTGGCTGCTCTTTGAATCTTAGTTTGTTGTTTATTTAAGAAACGATAGTGCAAATGTCTGAAGCCCTGTACTCTGCCTTCATGATAAGAGTGGCTTTTAAAATATGTATTATTGAACACATTTAGCCTCAATTCTCTTTTTTCCCCTCCACCCTTTCTTTCTTTTATGGCATGCTTTCTTACTCTGTTTCTTTGTTGTGTTGTGATGTGTTTGAACATATCTTATCATTCCCTAAGACTGTTAATCTGGTATAGCTCTACCTATGTTTCTACAGAAGTCAATTGATTTAAATATGTCTTCTATTTTAACCCAGGTCTGCTATTAGATCACCTAATACTCTGTTTGAGAGCTGTAAGGCAATCTTTTTCAGTGATTGGTCACATTCCCTGTAATAGTATTTTTGACTGTTGATTGACAGCAGCTACACTCACAGACACTGCACAGACATTTGCTTTTGTATCTGCTGACTGCTTTGCATGGGCCCCTACAGCGCAGCCCAGATGCTGAGAATATATAAACCAGCCTCTGCAGTGAGAACTGAAATGCGTCAGACAGCAGGGGAAGCAAGATGAAGACCCAGGTTTTCATATCCCTGCTGCTTTGGGTGTCTGGTGAGAAACTCAAAATTTTATAATGTTTGCAGAATCACTTCATTTTAGATAAAAAAAATTAGGCTGTGCTAGACTCATTATTTCTTACATAATAATACTTTGACAACATGATAGTACAAAGTTGTTAACAGGCAAATTTCAACTGTTTTTACAGTCTGTGTTTGTGTCTATATGCATGTTTATTGTGTAACACTGATTGCAGGTGCCTGTGCAGACATTGTGATGACCCAGTCTCCATCCTCCCTGGCCATGTCAGCAGGAGAGAAAGTCTCCATTAGCTACAGGTCCAGTCAGAGCCTTTTATACAGCAAAGACCAAAAGAACTATTTGTCCTGGTACCAGCAGAAACCAGGGCAGTCCCCTAAGCTGCTGGTCTACTTGGCATCCACTAGGTATACTGGGATCCCTGATCGCTTCACAGGGAGTGGATCTGGGACAGATTTCACTCTCAGCATTAGCAGTGTGCAGGATGAAGACCTGGCAGTTTATTACTGTATGCAAAGTTACAGTGCTCCTCCCACAGTGCTTCAGCCTCCAACAAAAACCTTCTTATCAGCTGCCTGCAGCCCTGGCCCTGCACACTTCCCTCTTCTGCATGATAGCAGGTGTCCCTGAAAAAAGACGAAAACAATTTGCAGAGCCCAGTACAAAATTTTAGGTTCATTCTCTCTTAAATATTTTGGTATTAGAATATATCACATGAAATTGCAGCAATGCTGGAGAAGATGCAGAGAAAGGGGAACCTGTCCGCATTGCTGGTGGGAATGTTAACTTGTACAACCTCTTTGCAACTCAATCTGGAGCTGTCTCTGAATGGTAGGAATAGTGTTACATCAAGATCCATGTATACCACTCCTGAGCATATACTCTCAAGATGCTCAAACATTGAAGGACATTTGCTCAACTATGTTCACAGCAGCTTTATTCATAATATCAGAATATGGAAACACCCTACATGTACCACAACCGAGGCATGGATACAAAAATTGTAGTACATTTATATAATGGAATACCACTTGGCAATTAAAAACAAGGAAATCATGCAATTGCAGGTGAATGGATGGAACTAGTAAAGATCATCCTGATGAGGTAACTCAGAGACATTCAGTGAAGGATAAGGCTAATATCTGCCATTTCTTGCTTGACAAAATCTTGATGCTGCAAGTCTGATGCAAGTATCCATTGTGGCAGTATGTTCATGAGTTCAAGAGCCATGTCGTTCCTAAAAGGCACTGTCTCAGCACTCCTTCACAATTCTGGTCATTATGTTCATTTTGTATCTTCTTCTATGAAGTCCCTGATTTGTGGGGAAGGAGACATCCCATTTATGAAGGACCGCTACACAGTCACATAGGCTCAGTCAGGCTTTGGTTGTATCCCAAGGGGTACGTCTCACGTAGGGCCAGTGATTGGTTGGACATTCTGTCAATCTCTGCTTAATTTTTGTCCCTACACATCTTGCAGGTAGGAGTTCTTGTGGGTGTGTGGTGTTTCCCACCCTCAACTAGGGGTCTTATCTAGTTAGAACATGGCCTCTTCAGTCTCCCTGACCTCTGTTACTAGGAATCTCAGCAAGAGTCACCTTCATATCCTCCCGGGAATCTGCCCTAGTAGGTCTGCAACTTGTTACAGAGATGCATTCAACCAAGGTTTCTCTTCTCTCTGCAAGCCCTCTTAGCCTTCTCCCGCTCTCACCGGGTCTGATACCAACCTTCATTACTCTCTGTTCCTTCTGTTACCCAGTAACCCCTCTCTCCAACCACTTCTGTTATCTATTGTATTTCTCCTTCTGACTGAGATTTAAGCATCCTCATTTGGGTCCTCCTCGTTATTTACCTTCTTTTGGTCTGTGGATTGTAGTATGGTTATCATGTACTATATGATAAAATCCATTTATAAGTGAGCACATACCATGTGAGTCTTTCTGTGTCTGGGTTACCTCACTCAGGATGATGTTTTACAGTTCTATCCATTTGTCCACAAATTTAATTTTCTTGTTTTTAATAGCTGAGTAGTATACCACTGAGTAAATGTACTACAGTTCTTTGTCCATTTTTCCATTGAGGGACATCTGGGTTCTTTCCAATTTCTGTCTATTATGAATAAAGCCACTCTGAACAGGGTTAAACAAATGTTCTTACTCTATGGCAGAACATCGTTTAGTTATATTTCCAGGAGTGAAATAGCTGGATCTTCAGGAAGAGCTGTTCCCCCCCCCCTTTTTTTTAAGTACCAGATTGATTTCCAAAGTGGTTGTATGACTTCGCACTCCCGCCAGGAATGGAGGAGTTTTCCCCTTTCTCTATATCCTCTCCTGCTTCTGCCATCATTTGCATTTTTATCTTAGCTATTCTCATTTTAAGATGGAAACTCAGAGGTTTTGACTTTCCTTTCCCTGATAACTAAGGACTCTGAACTTTCATTAACTGCTTTTCACCATTTCGATATTAATCTGTTGAGAATTTTCTATTTAGCTCTGCACCTCATATGTCTCATTCTTTTGCCTGCCTTTAGGCCTTTTACTCGGTTGCCCTGTCTAGTCTTGGCATAAGAATTTCTGTCTAGTCTTACTGTAACTTGTTATGCAGTCTTCTGTTGGTATCCCTGGGAGGCCAGCTCTTTTCTTTAGTGAAAGAAGGAAGAGATGATCTGGGACAGAAGGGAAGGAGGGAAGGAGAATGAAAGCAGTGAAGAGAGGAAAAGTTCCAGGCATAATATATGACAGAAGAATAAAAAAATAATATATATGTGTGTGTGTGTGTGTGTGTGTGTGTGTGTGTGTGTGTGTGTGTATAAAGATAACATTATTTAATGAATAGGGATTTGTATACAGAAGTTGATCTGCCAGAAATCCAGGTAGGCTGCCAGCAGATCTTCTCTTCTCTGTTTACACAGACCCAGTTCCCAAATCATGTTCCTAGTGCTGCAACATTGTACCAGCTACAGCCTCCCCTTCCCCTGCCACTACTCCTGTAGAGTCCACAAACCATCCTGTCCAACTCCTCACTTGTTCTTTATGTTAGACCCCAACTCTCACAGACACAACCTGCGCTAAGCCAAGAGCTACTCCTTCCAGATCACAAGTAAGATGAAGGCAGATCCACACTTCTCCAACTGCTCCTGACATCCAATCCCAATGGCTTCACTCCCAACTCTGTATCTAAGGACATGGTTGACTCTTTGACCTGATTCCCAAGAATTACAAACCACTTTTCTGCAATCTTCTTATCCCTAATGATCCAAGTTACACAGCCTCCAACACTGGTCAGCATTTCCTGTGAACAGGTCAGGAGAATAGGCAATACATGACCAAGACACTATTTGAAAATCCAGAGATGAAAGAGAAACCAAGGAACAAAATTTCAACAAAGACAAGAAACCAGCACCTAGTCTTTTAACCATCCCAAATGCAGACACCAAGATGCCAATGTAAAAGTACAATCAATAACAGCCAGGGCAGTATGTCTCCACTAGAGCCCAGGTATCCTAACAGAGCAGGTCCTGAATATCCCATCATAGCTGAAGGACCTTAGAAGACTATCATAGCTGAAGCACATGTTAAAGACCTTCAAACAGTTCTATGAATATGGCAAAGTTCCTTAAGGTGTATATGTATGCATTTCTCAAAAACATCTAAGAATATATGAGTATTTTAAGGAAATGATCAAAACATTTCTAGACCTGAAATTAGAAATAAAATCATTAAAACCCAAAACATATCAAAGGCTAGAAATGAAAAATATAGGAATTCAAATGGAGAGTACAGAGGCAATCTTCCCGAGTGGAATACAAGAGATGAAAGACAGAAACTTAGGGGTTGAAGATACAAAAGGAGAATTACATACATCAGTAAAGAAAAAGGTTAAATCTATAATATCTCTAATATGAAATATCTAGGAAATCCAGGACACTTTGAAAAGACCAAACCTAAGAAAAATAGTTACAAAGGAAAGAGAAGAAACTCATCTCAAAGGCTCAGAAAATGTTTTTGACAATATCATAGAAGAAAATTTTATCTAATCCAGAGGAGATGCCTATTAAGGAGAAAGAAACATACAGAACATCAATTAGACCTAACCATGATGAAGAAATCCCTCTGCACATAATAATCCAAACATTAAGCATAGAGAATAAGAAAAGAATAGAAAAACTGCACTGGAAAAAAGACCACGTAACATATAAAAGCAGACCAATTAGAACCACACCTAAGTTCTCAATGAAGATATTAAAAGCAATAGAGGCCTAGGCAGATGTGCTACTGAATCTAAGAGACCAGAGATGCCATGTCAGATTACTGTGTACAGCAAGCCTTTTAATCTCTATAGATTGAGAAAATAAGACATTCTTTGAAAAGTCAAATTAAATAACATTTATCTACAAAACCATCCCTTCAGAATGTTTGTAATAGAAAACTCCA